ATCCGTTAATTTATACGTATGACATAATTAGCGAGTTCGATGAAAGTCGTTACACCGAAGATCCATACAGCAGAGATTATCCGAGCAATATTGCGATAATTGCGTTGCAACGTTGAGCAATGTTGCTGCGAGATTCTGCGCTGCGTAGAAAAGGACATGTTCTGGTGCGCGAGAAATATACCAACCAAGTTGATTAAATCATCGTTTTATTACTGCCATCGCTTCGATAACGACGATACTTTGGATCGTGTAAAATTACTGAACAAAAGTGTCGTATCTCTTATTTCACACAGTAGAACTCTCGTATGCCTCGTGGCTCTTGAGGAAGATCGGATGTGGAGAATATAGTCGAATTAACCACATACTTACACTACATACGCCGATGTCGAGTCGTACTTAAGATTACGACCCGTATACATTTATGCTTCTTAAACTATATTTCTGATCTGACAAATGATAGATATATATCTCTCTCTCTCGAATGCGACGTTCCACCCGCGTTATTTTTCCCCTCGAAGAAGTTGCTCGCGTCCCCGCGAATTCCGATATATTTCCATGTTACTTTCATCGTGTTCCCTTCATCATCCCCGCAGAGTCCTTCCCTTCGATTAATTATACACGACAATTTGTTGTAATGCTAATTCACAATGTATACACTATGTACAATCATCATGTGCCCATCGCTGCGACCTATTTTACGCAGAGCTGTATTGCTATCTCCGACTTATATATGATATACGGGGGTGCTCTAAACATTGTGTACACATGCGAGCAGACGTGTATGGATTGCGCGAAAATTTGGGACGCACTAAAGTATGCATCGCTCTCGATTGACATGTAGATGTAGAGAGAAGCGCGACGTTCTTCCTGATCGCGAGAATGCGTAGAGACGTATACACTAATTAGCACGTACTTGAAACGGTGCTCGCGCGATGCCATGGATCGAAATATGACGTCGATATTAAACGACGCGCAGAAATCTGAGACTGTCGTAACGAATCACGTGAATCACGGTCATTGTCCAGCAAGTCAGAATCGAGTAGAGTTCGATGTTCGACCTTGAGCCTGATTTAGGGGGTTCTTGGGCGAGACGTTGGTTGCTGGCGGCGAGAGTGGCAAACTCGATGGTTCTGAGAGGCTGGTCATTAGCGATTCCTGGTAGTGTCGATTGGCAAATCAGAGACAAACTGCCGCTGGAAAAATGGTGTCGTTCCAAGCGCATTGTCAGACCCAACCGCGTCGTAGAGACCAGCTTTCCGTCTATGTTGCCAATTCCTCGCAAGTCTTTAGTTAAGGCTCTGTTTACCTGTTAAGAATCAGGCACAGAGTTTGAAGAGTTTAAAATGTAATTTGTAAAGACTATATTTTAAATAACTTGTATAGTGATATTATTAGGATTTATATTACAGCCACGAGTTACCGAGATATCTAATATCAGATATGAAATACGAAAAATTATAAGAGATTGCAAATAAAGATTACATTTCGATCTTTGATTGTACATATATTTTTTTTTGTTTATTAATTAATTCACACACTACAGAAGGCAGTTATTCTATGTATTACATTTTAGTATAGTTTTATTTTGGACTCTCTAATTACTTTATATATATATATATATAAAGTAATTTATTTTTAAAATTTTTACTTTTAAAATATTATTTTATTTTCTTCAAGGAAATTACGCGGTTTATGGATTATCTCCATGTCTTGATACATTATTAAGCACCATCATTTCGTGAACATTGCACTTCACTTTAGCAGGAAAAACCTGAAATTATCAATAAATACATTGCTATGAGCTGCTTAGTTTCTCAAAGATAAACTTGCATAAATGCAACAGAATTGTGATGAAAATATGCTATTTACCATTTGATATACACAGAAAGAATAATTTTGGCAAAATATCTAAAAATTTGGCTAGATAAATCTAAAAGTAATTTTGTTGGATCAAAATAATTATATAAAATATTCAAATTGATTGCTAGAATGTTAATACTAATTGTAGCACTATTCATCATGCTTGAGATTTTTCTTTAAAATTATTTTAATAGTTCAACAAAATTATTTTCAGATCTGTATCCAGTGAAATTTTTAGATACCTTAGCAAAATCTTTTTGTGTACAATATAAATCATGACTCAAATAACATTGATGTAACGAACAATGTTTTAGAATTACTATTATTTTTTAAGACTCAACAATTCAAACAATCTGATATAGAATAACCATCAGGATTATGTTGAAAGTAAACCATTATATCCTCCTCCATTATAACCTCCTTCATTTCGATTGTTTTTCATATAATATTAAGATCGAGTATTTAATTCCATTTTTTCTGAGTCGTTATACAGAGTATTCCGTAAGTTTTGACCAATCGGTTTTGTAAAGAGAGCGGACTAAATTGTCGAAAAGGTCTCTACCATTTTGCAATTTTCGCAATAATTAACTAGATATTAATTACTAAAAATTGTCAAATATTGGTCTTGAATAATTTTTTACGCAAATACTATCAAATTTACAGAAGAACTGTAAGAGATAAAAATCATTAATTTTCTTCTCATAGAATTCTAAGAATTTTTTCAAAATTTTTGATCAACTTTTTAGTTGCATTTTCTTATTTTTACCAACATGAGAAGATACGGTATTAAAATTCTGAAAAACCTCTGAAAAAATTCTTAGAGTCTATGCAAAGAAAATTAATGAGTTTTGTCTCTTACAGTTTTTCTGTAAAGTTAATAGTATTTATTTTGGACTCTTTGGAGTAAAAAATTATTCAAGACCAATATTTGGCAATTTTTAGTAATTAATATCTTGTTAACTGCGAAAAGTACAAAATAGTAGAGGACTTTTCGACTCAGTTTAGTCCGCTCTTAGCTACACAAAAGCGATTGGCTAAATTATGGGACACCCTATATAAGTCAGTTTATATAAGTGCCTTAAAGGGATGCTGGAATAACCAAGTATACATTACAGTCGTATAAACATCTTCAAATTGATTGAACGGAATAAGAAATTCTTTTACAGGATTAAAGATGCAAAATTAGAAGGTGGTATAATAAACTTTATATTAAAATCGAAAAAAAGTTGAAGACTTACTTAACTTTCTTTTGATTTTAATATAAAGTCCATTGCACTGCCTAATTTTGCGTCTACTTTAATCGTGTAAAAGAATTTTTGATTCCGTTCAATCAATTCGAAGATTTTTATACGACTGTAATGTGGTCACGATAATTTGGTCACTCCAGCATCCCTTTAATCATTTCAAAAGAAAGGTGCTTTCTTATTGAGTGCTTTTACAATACAGACCATATAGAAACATACCGTAGATTTCGTAAATTTGGATTTAAAAAAGTTTTAAGCAAAGTACACTTACAAAAAAAAAATCTCATAAAGTGTCAAATTCTGATTTTATGAAATTTTATGATTTTACAATAATAAACTTTGTATACATATAAGGATTACATGTAAATTTAGAAAATATAAGTGCAGAAAACTGATGTCTAAATCATTCTTTCTAGGTAAGAAGATTTCTAACTATTTCAATTGTATCTCAAAAACTATTTAAGATATCAAAAAAATGTTTTATAATGAAATTATATTGAATCGTAGAAAGACATTGCAGAAATGTTCATTAAACTAATAAACATCTTGCAGACGTTACAAGAATAATTCAAGAATATTCGAGAACATTAATTCAACATTTATTCAATATTATAAACTTCCAAAATTATTCAATCCCTGAATTAATTTTTATATAAAATTAAACGAGATATTTTAAAAATATATTTTATTTGCTTTTACCTTAAAGTCTTTGGGTCATTTTCTAAAAATTATTTTATTAAAACATGGGTGAAGAATTTTATACTACGCTTTTTATTCTATCTTATGTAATTTTTAAACAAATATATATAATGAGGTTTGAAAGAATCTATTAGTGAAAAATGTAAAAAAGCCCATCAGGGCCTACATCAACTGTTTGGATGCACAGAAAACTTTTTATTTTCGTGTGTTTGTTACGAAAAAATTCATTAATAACTAATTTGGCATTTGGATAAAGAAGAACGAACTAATTTGTCGGGAATCAACAACTTGGAATTTGCGTTATTTACGTAATTTCGAGTTATACTTTATATTGATAAGGATCCGAATTGAAGGGTTGAAATGTATATTTTATTTGTTTTGTTACATTCACACAAAAAATAAAGAATTTCTGTACACCCGAATAGCTGATGGGCTTTTTTACATTTTTCACTGATAATTTTTAAATATGAGAAAATTACTTTACTCACATATACCTATAGGCGATATTGCATACTGTTCCCAGGTGAGCGACTTTAATATTAATTTGATCAATATTGTTGTTACAACAACGTTGTAGCAACATTAATAATCAATATAGGAAAATCAACAAAGATTCAAAATGTTGAAAAAATATTCACACATCAATATTTAACATTGCAATGTCTCAACAACATTCTTCTAACGTTCTATACTATACTAGTCAATAAAAAATAGGGAACACGCTCAAAATTGCGCAATAGAATACCGTAACTTGGTAAAAAATCATCGCAGATCAAAAAAATCAAAAAAACATTTGAACGCTCGAAATCTCTACTTTTGAAGTCGGTAATTGATATTTCAATCTGACTGATTTTTTACATAGCTATTCGGACACAAATAGATATCCGTCAAATCTGAAAATTTTGTACCAATTTTACAAAGGAAATATATAGCGTGAAGTAAAAATTACATAAAAATGCGATTTACAGCAGTCGAAAGAGTGAATCTTTACCTTCAATTTTTTTTTATTGAACGTTGTACGATTTTTTTCACCGAGTATTCAACATAGAAGCAAAAGTGATCATTTTTGTTTCATGTTCAATAATTTGGTGAAAAAAAATCGTAAAGAATTCATCGTCAGATTGAAATATAAATTATCGATTTTAAAAGTAGAGATTTCAAGCTTTTATATACTTTTCGAAAGTGTTCTCTATTTTTTGTTGAGTAGTATTCCGAATATTTACGAAATATTCGGAATTTATATTATTAAAATATTTTTTGAGATTTGGAAATGTCCTATCATTACATAATATTATAATTATATTTATAAAAGATTTATTAGATAAAAACGTTAATAAAATTCACATAAAATCAATATTTCGAAATGTTGATCTAATGTTTCTTGCTTACTAGGCTTGGGTACTTGTTATGAAAAATATCGGAATGAATTCCGATTGAAATTATTCCGTTTTTCCTTAGAAAACACAATAGAAATCTAGGGAATAATTGAACAATGTCGATCGGAATCCGTTCCAACTTGTTCTATGATAGGCGTCCTGTATTATTAGATTTCTCGCTGCTGAAACAAATTACCAATGTTCATGAAATATTGGCATTTAATGTTTTAAGACACGGAAATAACTCGTAAACCGCATAATTTTTCTTCTAAGTTTATGTTTATACTCTCTTTTTATCGTTACGATGTCTATAATAATAGATACATTTTTCTCTTCAACGAATAAAGTAATATATTAAACTGATCCAAATGCTTCTTTACTTATAAATATAATAATCAATCATAACAGATTGCCTGCCACTCCATTACTTGTTAACGGAAGAAGTGTAACAGATTATTTTAATTGTCGAGTCTCTTGAAAAAAATAATATTTAAAACGTCATTTGTTACATCAATTTTGTTTGAGTTGTGATTTTCATTGTATGAATAGCATATTTTTGTCACAGTCCCGCGAGTTTATTCTCGAGAAATTAATTTGTGGCTCATAGGATTGTATTTATTGAGACTTGAACGTGCAGCCAGTCAGTCAGTGAAATAAAAATGCCCACGCGAACTGGCCTCGCTTGACAAATTGTCGTTGAATAAACCGAGTAGTACCTCCTCGCGAATGACGTGCGCAGCGTAGCATTGAATAATGGGAGTTATGTGGTTCCTAGTTTACTATGCCCGCTCAACAGCCCGCGGAAGCGAGCTTTGGATTACGTTGCGCGATTAATTACGAAATTTTCGCTCGTTTCGCGTTTGCCGACGCTACAGGGATATGCCCTAAAGTAGTTAGATAATATTTCGAAGGCAAATATTCCTTTGATCAATTTTAACAAAAATATTTCAATAAGTTTGTTAAGTCAGAAGCTATCGGAAGAGGACGTTGGAAATTGAAAATTTGCGTTCAATTGACAAAGAGCTTTAGATAAATAGAAAGCTCTTTTTTATGTAATAAATGATTTAATGAAATAATTTAAAAATCAAGCGAAAATTTGAAAACATGCCTCGTATACGAAATATACGAACGTGGAGAATTATGAAAGTTTGTCTGATTATTTTTCAAAACTTATGTGATCTTTCGAAAATTTAAGGATGTTTTGACTATACCATACCAGCTAAAAGTAATAGCCAAACAATCAGTCAAAATAATCTAATATATTTTATTAACTCGTAAATATATTTTGAAACCAACTGCAAAAAAAAAAACAATAATTTGGCTTTTAATGGTTTTATGTAGCAAAATATCCATATTTTTCTACAGTTTTAGATCAATGATTTTTAAGTGGATCCAATATATAATTTGATTTAATTTTCAACGTTATTTCCTCATCAAATTTGCAAATAAGTATTACAAAACGGATTTTAAGAATCACGACAAAAAATTAAATAACTTTTAAACTAATAAGAGAATCGTTTTCAAATGTTACATAGATATTCAAACGTATAATAGAACAATCTATAAAATTTATATATTTTTGATATTGTTTTAGATGTACACATACGTCTTTAAGTGGCGTAACTAACTCCTAATTACGTAACTTTCGCAGTCACGAATATCATCGATACTCACCTCTTTACTGTTCAAGATGAACGTTAGAACTGCCGGGGGGTAACTTAACCCCGACGTGCACTCCGCTTGGAGGATCTCGCCGATTTCGTAAGAAGGTCGCATCCCCTCGAGTATCGGAGAACTTTGAGGAGGTACAGCCACGCTCATGTTTGCCTCTCTGTAATCTGTCTCAAAACTCGGCGCTTCGGATGACACCTCGCAGCCGTAAGACCCCGCCAAGTCAACTTTACCTGCAATATTAAGTTAGAGAAAAGACACTATAAATATAAGTTTAAAAAGAGGCGAAAAAGATATTTCTTTTATTTCATATATTTGAATAAACAATGACAAAATGGAAGTTGATTTTTTTTTAAAGACAAAATTAAATCTACATTAAACGACTGATTAAATCATGAAATTTTTGACATTTACTTTAATTCCTTTCTAATAATCTGCATATTAAAATTATACTCTTCTACAAAAATGATTTTAATAGTATACGGAATAATTTTGCTGATCAAGTATCAATGTATGTCTAAAAATTTAGTTAGACAGTTTTGAAAATAATTTGGTTGGATTGTCAAAATAATTATGTAGGATAATTATGCTCAAATTATTTGCAAATAGATTGTCAAAACTTCTTGCAGCATTACTCATTATTCTTGAGTTTCCCTATATAAGTTTGATATAATAAAATTATTTCTAGATCTACTGCATCTATCTAAATTTTTAGATATTTCAGCAAAATTATTCTTTCCGCATATAAAAGATTTATCTTTTACATGAGAAATATATAGTAATAGATGTAACTTATAATTCTTGCTTGTAAATTGATGTCACATACCTTTACCAGTGCTTGGGCCCAAAAGTGTCACTTGTTTGTGATCACTTCGGTTGAGGTCAATATATAGTCCGCTGATATTTTGAGGTCGCTTAGGCGTCGCTGATCCCGGCATAAATCTGAAGATCTCCTGACCGTCTTTGTTCCACGTTACCGAATACAGCTCTTTGCCACCGAGATCATACTCACATTTAAGTGACACCGTCTCCCACCTTGGATCGGCGATACTGGGTACGTCCAGCTTTCGTATCTCTAGTCCGGCACCTAGACGACAAAAAGCACGAACGTTTTTGTTATTTTGTATGTTTAAATATGTACACATAAATAGTATGCTTTATATATTACAGTACTGTTACCTTATTTAAAAGTGATACAATACTCAAGAAATATGATTTTCTAGTTATTATCCCGGTAAAAAATTATTTTATGCATGAATATATATATATATATATATATATATATATATAAACATACATAAACATTTATAAACATGTATAAACTTTTATGAACATATATAATTATAGAATATTTATATATCATTCTTTCTTTTTGTAAAATTACTGTATAATTAATCCTTTGAGAGGCACGTATACGTCCCACTTTTTTATTCTTAGTTTTTTCCATATTTCTGATCTATTTTGCAGTTTGTATGCGCATATGAGTATTTTTTAGACTCTTAGGGATGTAAGTTATGTAATTTCCATGAAAAATTACGTTAATTTATTTATTTGCAATTTTGTGATAAACAATTAATGTTGAAAAACTCGTTTTTTTTTTTCAGAATAAATTCGGCTATTCTTAAAGATGAAGTGTTAGAGCTTTGAAAATTTTTATGCGTGTACTCCATATCTGCAATATATAATATATATATTTTTTACAATTTTCTGCTTGCTAGTTTTTCCGAAAAAAATTTTTGAAATTTTGGAAAATTGATCTTTTATAAGTCTATTTATTATTTTTTATCTATTTTGTAATTTTGACATCAGAATCGTAATCAGCAATCCCGAAAATCCATAGATGACCTATCATTCAATAATTTGTTTAGAAGAAAAATGTGCTCCTTAAAAGGATTAAAAGGATAATTTTTGTATGATTTATTTTAGAAAAAAATCAAATTTGAAGGAATGTAAAAGGATTGCTCATATGTAATTAAACATAAAATTATACATAATTATATATAAGCAATTTTTTTTACATTTTTCCAAATTTTTTTTCTAAAAGAGACAATTATACGAAAATTATCCTTGTAATTATTTTTGTTTTCTCACATTATTATTATTATTTTTATTATAAATATTATTAATAAAAAAAGTATTTAAATACAAAATACAAAATACTTTTAATAAAATAAAAATGTATTTAAATATGTTATGTATTTTAAATACTGCCCACTCCTGAGACATAACGCTTATAGACGTATTTTAATTGATCACCTCAAATATCTCTTGAATAGTGCATTTTAAGGAAAAATGTTTCAGACAAAAGTTTTGGGACTTTGAGGAATACATAAGATAGTATCATTGGTTTGACCTTGGATGGCGTCGTCAAGATCACAGCAAGGTCACTTTGAATTTTTTAAACGGAATCCCCCATTTTGTATTGCGTATTTTTGTAGCTTACCTCGAGAGCTTTTCAAAATACTATAATTAAGTTTATTTTCATTAAGTACTTTTCGAGTTATAAGGCTTGCAAGTTACAGCTGGCATTAACCAAGATGTCCGATCGACGGCTAAAATCGCTTAAATGTTGTTTAGGATCATGATCTGGATAACATTTGTCAAGATCAAAGTCATCAGATTATTTTTTTAATTTTTATTTTTGCACTAAAAATTCATTTCTACATAAAAATGAAAATAAGAAGTACAGCCTCTAATGAACTTTGAACTTGACAAATATTATTCAGAATATGATCCTGAACAACATTTAAGAGGTTTTAACCGTCGTTCAGGCACTTTTTGCGTAATGCTAATGTCTGCGGTGCTGTAACTTGCAAACCTTATAATTCGAAAAGTACTTAATAAAAATGAATTTAATTACAGTTTTGGGAAGCTCTCAAGGTAAGCTACAAGAATACGTAATGAAAAATAGGGAGTTCCGTTTACAAAATTCAAAGTAACCTTGCCTTGATCTTGACGACGCCACCCAAAATCAAACTAATGGCACCATCTTATGTTCCTCTCAAAGTCCCAAAACTTTTGTCTGAAACATTTTTCGTTAAATTATTCAAGAAATATTTGAGGTAACCGATAAAAATGGGACACCCTATATAGGTATTTTCATAAAAATTAAGTTGCCTTATTCGATCCAATAATAAGTAATACTAAGAATATTCTTTTTATTAATATTATTTGATTAAACAGTAATTTTTTGTCAAGTTGAAAAAGAATCCTTTTTTTTTAAATTTAATTTTTCGAGTTATGTTACTTTTGAATTAAAGAAGCAATATGTTAAACGTTGTTATAATTTAAAATTTTAAATAATGTTAAATTAATTGAAGCTAATTAAAACAGATGTATTTATACCTAAAAAGATATAAATGTTGCTAATAGAATATAATTAGATTAATATTAAAATGAAGTACTGGTAATAAAATTTTCTCATTTATTTTTCAATATGTTCTCACATTGAAACAGATTCAAGGCTTTAACTCACTTATGCTGTACGATGGTACAATTTAGAACACAATTCGAATTATTTAATTGGCTGGCAATTATAAAACATTGCCCTAACGTTGAAATCTCGACTCTTGAAAGGTCTCGGAAAATATAGTTATTTGAAAATTTCGACCGCGCAATGGAAATCTCAGCGGGAAATGGCTTCGCGATAGTTGACATGCGCGCATTAATTTATTTAGCGTGCATCCGCAGGGCGATCGGAACAAATACAGTGGTAATTAAAAATATTCGATCAACCGAACGCAATTGAGTACTCCAAAGCGGCCTGAAATTTAAAGTGATCGTGAGAGCCAATTATTATTGCACAAACCTTTTCAGAATGCAAAAAATTCATTCGAACTCGTTCTTTTATCGATAATGTATAATTTACAAAAAAATTTTAGATAAATGTTGTTGCATTAAATGATACACATATAATAACAACGTAATCATCCTACGTAATCGAAACTTTGATGACAATAAGCGCCATTTTCCAAGAGAAAATAACTGAAAAGTATTTTTACTGTATTTTATCACAAAGTGATATACTGGTATTTATTTGCAAAAATAATTTTCTCTGCGATTTTACTTTTAGCATTTATTGTCCGTTTAATGTGAAATTTGCAATCATTTTGAAATAATAAGTAAAATTTTGAAATATTAACAAACATTTTGAAATAGTTATACTATTATATTATTTTATTTTTGTTGAGCGAAGACTCACTCGCAAAGAATAGATACATGTTTCGAGTTATTTTCTCTTGTGACCTCCTTCAAAATTTATTACTAAGTTATCCGCTATATCATGTCGCTATTCCGTTATGGATTGCTAATATTTTATTTACTATTTGTGCCATGTGTCGGTATATTATATGCATTTATTTTGATATTGAAACTGTAAAACAGTTTTGCTATCATAAAGTGCGTAAAATATAGAAGACATAAATATTGCCTAAAATATAGAAGGCTATTTGATTTTAAATTTGTAAACTTGTTTATATAAAGACAACGATGGTTGTAACGGCGCGGCAAAATATCGAAGAACAATTAGAAGAATAAAATCGTTGAATAGTTATTTTCTTTCTTCTCATGTACGTCAACATACACAGAGCTAGTAGTTACATAGTCACATGACATTTATTGATTTATTTTGAGTATCCTATTTTGATAACACTCAATTTTACGGTGCATCGATGTTTTACATCGCTTCGGACATAGTTACATATTTTTCTATTAAACAAGCCGTGCCACAAAACCAATATACGTTAAATTGGAAGTTTTATATCGAGCAATGTTTTTATATTTATCCATTTTTATCCACATTCTTTATAATCTCTAATAGTTTTCATTAATTTACATGAGTGTCGAAGGATCCGTTTCTCCACGTGAGCACAGTGTTTTTTCTTTCAGTCGAAAGTTCCCGTCTGGCTAACAAGTGGTTTTGCAGTGGCTTGACCATTCGCCTCGCGGAATAACGAGTCTTCTTAAATAATTCGCTGGCTTTCCAAGGCTTTGTGTAAGCAGTAGTTAACCAGGAACACAATAGAGCGGACCGCTTTGACTCTGTCCTGTTAGTCTGCAGGATACTCTCGGTCAGATCAAGGGTACGATTTGGAAATGCAAACTCCAGGACGAAACCACGATTCCCTGCTTCTTTTTCGCGCGTGCCTCTGATACGAAGTACTCGCCTCGCATTGAGTAAGGTATTTTACATTGTATAGTATTGGGATACGAATGTTCCCGACGTGCTTTACATTCTGAAAATATATGTATTGAACGGTGTGTCGAATGCTCTTACGAAAATTTAATTTAATACTGTTCAATTTAAGACTGAAAAATGTTGATCTATTATTTTGAGTATTGACTCTCTGTCTGTAATTTAGGTCTTGTTTTGCATAAGCAAAAAGTTTCATTTTCAAATCTTGCACTGATCATACAGACAAAATTTCAGTTATTTGCTGAAACTCTGATATTTTGTAGCTTATGAGATCAAAGCTGATTAAAACTCTTCATAAAGGTATAAAAAAATAAACAAATATTACAGTAGCATCATTTGAAAGTCCCTTTTTTGAATTTAATCAAACTAAAAAATATTTTAATCTACAGTACACACTTTGTTCTTTATAACTGTATAGGTATTTATATATGTATAATCATATATATGTTTGTATGTAATAATGTCGAATGTACTAATATGGACTAGCTATCGATCGACACAGATATATTCATATCACTCCTCTCCCGCACACAACGACATAAAAAGCTCATGACGAATACTTATATGATATTATATATCTCAAATGCTTATATGATATATAATAAATGCTTATATAATTATATAAGTGTTTAATTATATTATATTTAAATGTATAAGTACTTATACAGTTCAAGAGATTAACTGTGTATTGCAGATAAACGTTTTTCAGTACGATTAAATCTAAAGTGGCAAATAATGTTACAACAAACGTATCGATTTCTGTATGATTGATGTCTAAACTCAAATTTTGATCAACTTCTCATTACAAAGTTACAAAACATCATAGTTTCAATCAATTTGACTGAAATTCTTTTTTCCATATAATTAGTACAGGATCCATTTATTCCTCACTT